CACATAGTCCGCGATCCGACGAAGTCGGATTGCCTACCTAAGTGGCTAACTTGAAAGTTAATAGATTTTGACTTGAGATGACTGACTTGCTAGAAACTCCAACAAGGTTTTCGACTTTACACTTTTTACATAAGATAAAGCACCAGTCATGCTACGGCACTTACCACTCTATGTGCAGGTATACTCTATATAGGTGATCCTGGAGATCGTATCCAGCCTATCCATTTACAACGTTTGTGACGGATTGCTAGACACTCAAACTTTTAACATTCCCGCCAAAGCGTCTAGCCTTATCTCCAATCCATATCACTAATCCTTATCACAAATCCTAAACTTTCGTCTTACAACCTTTGCGACTTTTATAATTCATTGTCTCCAAAATCGGTACCCACTCTCAGCGATTCCAACGGGCCCCGAGTTATACTTAGAGCTAGTTAAATATATTATAATATATTATATAAATATAAACATATATTATTTTTAAATGTTTAAAAATTAATAATTGCTCCACATAATAACTAAATGATAGTTTACAACTTAAATTATTTTTCACAAAATTATAGATTAAATCAAATATTGAACCGTAATAATACTTATAGGCAATATGGAAAATACTAATACTGTATTGCATAAACAATTTATTAAAATATAATGGTTGACTAAAATGTAATGGACCTATCATGGGCCACTAAATCTGGTTTAATGGACCATTAGCTCACTATTGATTCATTAAATGTTTAGTGCAACCCGGCATAAAACTACTAATATATGTTTTATATTATTTTCTTAAAATATTATTTTATCAGCATTTATATTTTTAAAATATTAAAAAACTGTTGTCAAATTGTTTTACTCTATGCTGTGAGATTTGGTGTGTCCAATAGAAAAATTTTAAAATAATTATTTCTTTTTTATTGTCCCAACATTTATATTAATACTAAGAACTTTTGTATTACCTATTTACTTTTGATATACCAATACATTTATATTCAACATTAAATATTTTAGGGTAAATTACATTCTGATATACAAGATTTTATTAGAAAATGGCCCAAACTTAAACTTATTGAAGTGTCAATCGAAGAAAACAACTATAATATTGATGATGAGGCCGAAATTGGAAACGTTAATCAAGATACATATAACATATGGTAAATGCATTGGAAATAAAGCTTGCCAAAATTGCATAGCTTGTTGGTATAAAATATTGTATACATATAATTTACATTCGTCTGCATATAGCTTTGTATATCTAATGTATACATTTGTATTGACATTATCATGTACCTACACAAGTACGGTGTGAAACTACGTTTTCCAAATTAAAATATGTACTAAATCGACTTAGGAACTGTTTATCTCAATCAAAATTAGAAACATTCTTAATTATGTCCGTAGCTATTATACTCTTAAATTTGTTTGATGTGCAATAAACGATGGGGGCCGGAGAAGAAGCAATGTGAGCAACAGTTCCTTCTCCGGCTCACGATTAAACCGAAAAAAAAAAATAATAAATAAAAGTATTATATTTAATTACCTAAAAAATACCACAAACCCGATTTTAGCGATTGTGACATAAATAGGTAGTAGATATATGACTAAACAAAAATACAAAGATTTACCTGCTACTTAAGTGCAATACTCATATTATATTTCAGTTATATACTGTTATACATTTTTATGTTCACTGCACTACAATAAATATAATATTAATAAAAATAATAAATTAACCAAGATAAACTAAAATCTTTAAAAATTGAACCTTGAAAACTATTGAATTCAAGCAAAAAAAAACTAACAAAAAATATATTGTGGCATGTATTATTATTATAGATATTATATTATAATGCATATTATTATTTATTATTATTGATGTTTACAATATTACTGAATGTATAAATACATAGGTATTAGGTACCTACCTACCAAATTTATAATATTTTACTTTCAGATATTTTTTTTATGATATAATTATGATTTTTAAATTCCTCATCAACTCTTTCTTTTTGACTCGTTCATTGTCTTCATTTATTACTTCAGATGTACACGGTATGGAATGAAATAATGCAATAGTTTTTACATTGATACAGATATCTCATTCATTATTTCTTTTTCTTCCATTAGATTTTCATAATTTAAGAACTCATCATGATCAACGTTTTTAGAGTTAGATGAGCACTGTACTGTATTAGGAAATGCTCTACTAGCTGAAGGTACAGATGAATCATAACACAATTTCTTTTGATGTTTGTCATTTGCCACTAATTTTTATAACTTTTGTTCCTTGAGTTTTCTATTTTGGTTTATTTATAGTTTTAATTTAATTTTTTTCTTCCCCATATTTTAGCAATGAATTCTGTAAAATAACCTGATTTTAAAAATAATGCATTGAAAACAAAGTACCCAATTTACATGGACATACACATGTAGAAAACTGTACTATAGTGTGTTCAGTGCTGTATGTCAAAACTCAAAGAATCAACTAATTTTGTTTTAACATTAAATATAATATTGCTTATTGAATTATTAAACTTAATAAATTGATCAATTATGTTTTTTTTTTCAAAAAAAGAATTTAAAAACTAAAAACCTAAATAAAAATTAATAGATACCTCATATCTGTGAGTAAATTGTGCAACCGGCGGCCATTCTGCGCGTTTTGTAAACCTTTTCAGTAAAGTCAAAAGTACAATACGTCCACACTGCGTCTGTACTCTGTATAATTGGATACTTGGATAGACTAATTACTAATAGGCCATAATATTATACCTAGTCACCCGTCGGCCGTCGTCGGGTTGTCCGTTGTCCTTATCTATGATTTTATTGCAATATAATAGTTAATAACTATAATACGAGGCACTCCGAAGCCCATATGCGACGATGTTTGACGACGTCGGTCGGCGCCGGTGCGGTGGTCGGCGGATATAATATTGTGTATAACATAATATTCTATGTGTGTAATGACTAATGAGCAATGTTCATTCTGCGGGTTAATGAAATACAAACTAAAAATATAATAATAGCTAATTGTTATAGCCGAATCGACGTCGGCGACGACCTGACTTGAACAAAAATACAACCAATTACCGCAGTCCGCAAACAACTTAAATAATATTAAAAATAATTATCTACTACATTAATTAAATATATATTATTATTTTTAAAAAATGGTCAATGGATACCTCAATTATTCATTATTATTATGCAGATTGCAGTTGTTTGATGGCATTAAATCAATTCGTTTCTATATTTTTTTTTTATTAAACAATTTGTAGATTATATATTTCTGCAATTACAGAGATAAATGATTTTGGTCACGTTCTTATTTTGGTGCATTATTAGGCAGAAGCCAGTAGCAGTTAAAAAAATTATTTGTGTGGGTCTCAGAATTAAATATAGGCTATAGCATAAACATAGTCATAGGCGGCAGCATTTGGTGTAAAAGGGTCACCAGTGGGCAGTTCCCCCCTCCCCGAAAACGAGAGGGCAAACTTATCAATTTAAATGGGCCAGTAAATTGTGATTAAATTTTGCCCTTCTCCCTCCACAACAATTAGAGCTAAGCGCCTCTTATGAAGATTGTGTTAATAATTAATTAATTAAGTAAATTTAATATAGGTATATAAAAAGTTGCTCAAACTAATTTACCTATTTTCTTACTGTCTATCTTACTTTAAATGTATTCTTTTTTCTTTATGATTGTTAAAGTTATTATATAAAAAATAGATCTACCAACAACATTATCAGAGAAATGTAACTTTCTTCTTCAAATTCACATTAATTTTAAGGCACATTTATACCGTTAGGGGCAAATATATTTTAGGGCAAGGGATGCTGTAGCATCCCAGCATCCCAGCCAGTCCGCGCCTGGAGGCAGCAGCCGTCTCCGCTCAGAATCGTTTTCTGTCAACGTTTTCAAATGACTAAAATTATTAAAATATTAAACATGTCCATTAAATTTGCCAAAAAATAAATGTGTATAAAATCAATTATACACAAACATAACCTGATAAATCGAGTCAGGTAAGGCAATAAATATAGTTATTTATTAGTTAGAGAAAAAACGTAGTACCTACCTAAACATAATTATTATTATTATTTTGAATATATTTATCTACAAATTTATATTCTAACTGATTTTTATTTAATTGGTCAGATATTTTTCCCACGCATAAATTTTCCTATTTTTTTTTTTTTTTTTATTCGCATATTTTATTCTTAGGTACAAATTATATAAACACAAATTACAGCCAAGTGCTTACATCTGCAGATGAGGTACTAGGTGGTAATGAATTATCATTAATATCATTTCTGGAGGATGATAGTGATTGATTAGTCTAAAATATAAATTAATAAGTATGTATTGTTTATATAAATTAGATTAAATTACTATATGAGTATGCAAATGGTATTTTAATAATACAAATGTTTAAATAAAATATTACAGTAAATACCATGTCTGTATTCATGTCTGGTATTCCTTGAATTATTGTTTTCAACTGTTCTAGGTTTGAAATAAATCTAGCTCTATGCCCAATCATGGGAATTAATTCTTTGACCATATCAGGTGTTTATCAAGTGCCTCAAAACCTCTTTTATGCGCCATAGTGCTTTCATCCCAAACAATAAACTTACAATTGCGAAGCACTTTGGCTATATTACTTTGTTTTGGTATATTACACATTGGTGTTTCTATGTTAATGAGATCAAGAGGAAGTTTGAATGCTGAGTGGGCCGTCCTCCCCCCTCCAAAAGCGTAGCAGCAATGTCAGAAGATGCAACAGTCAAAGCAATACTATGATTGCTTCTTACTTTTGTCAAAAGCAAGTTTATAAGAAAAGTTTTTCCTGTTCCTGCAGGAGCGTTTAAGAAAAAAAATTTTCCAGTATCAGATTTAATGCTGTGCATTATCCGACTCTATAGACATTGTATTGCTCGTTCGTCAGTAAGGCCTCGTTGCTCACTACTACCTTTGTTAAGGTATTCAGGTCGTAGTTTATCTATCTCTGATAGACTATGTTTTCAAAGTTATTTTCTGTCCTTGTTGGCTGAGGTAGCCCATAATTTGATATGCTCTGACCTCCTACAGCAAGCACTGCATCTTCAATTTGTATCAAACATTTGTTGTGAGCCTCATCTTTTTGGTCAGCATCCATTTGTCGGATAATATCCTCTGAAAGATTGTTTTTATGTGTATCCCAAAGAGTTAAGGAATCCGATAGTTGACAAAATACTAACATTACAGTAAATAGTTCGCGCAGCTTGGAAGGAGAATCACTCAAAGAAGCTTCATTTAACGTATTGTTCCAGTAATTATCATCTTCAAGTAAACCTAACACATTACAGGCAGATTGGAATGTATTATGGAGGATACCTTTAACAGTCTTTAGGTCTGAAAAAGATGTTGGTCCTCTAATTTCATGAAGGAGCATACGAAGATAGTAGCATTCAGTATTGTGTGGATGGATAGTATACACTCTTCCTAATGCATCGTCCTTCTTTACGGTCAGCCAGCCATCTACATTCCTTCCCTGCTTCCTTCTTTGAAACTTATTATTCTTAAATACCTATACAAAGTAAGAAGGCACTTCCGAATAAAGGAGGGTTTTTGCGAAAACGTCAGTTTTGCATAACTCAAAAAATGCTAAAAGCGTATTGAGCTTCTCTGCCAAGTTATTAGGGGTAAAGTATACTAGCTGACCATTCTCAAGGTGGACGGCTAGATGAAAAACCGTAGGATATCGTTCATGAATGGAAAATGATAATATTCTCCATACTGATTCGGCACTGCTGATATACCTACCACTTTCGTACATTTTAATCTCATCCTCCTGGTTTTCTATCGTAAACGCTGCCTTTGTTTACATACTTACAGATGTACTTAATACACTTAACAGAATGACACATTTCTACATTGATGTGACAATTGAAAGTACGTAATAAGACTGGGTTGTAAGGCACAACCCAATGGTTGTCTAAATCAAGTCCCTTAATTCTTACAGTGAAACCACCGTCATTTATAGATCTCTTGTACTCTGGGTATCCATCGTCTCCTGTCTGTGTTTCTCGGCAAGGTTTTCTAGGGTATCTTTTACTGCATATATTTTCTTTCATGCAAGGAGCATTAGGGTTTAAGCTGCCGCGGGACCATGAATCATGTTACTTTTGACGATGTCATATAAAAGAGGATCTTGCTCGGGGTCTGGTATTTCGGCACTGATGACATTATCAATTATGTTTGATGAAATTCGATTCTGTAGCCATAGTAAGATGTGAACGTGAGGCAATCCTCGCTTTTGCCACTCCACAGAATACATATAGCACCTTACGTCACCAAATAATTTTCCTTTAGTCAAGAGTGCCATTAATTTCTTTACTTTAATATGAAATACTCTCGCTATAATGTCATGACGATCGTGCGGCTTTTGTCCAGAAAACAGTGCATCTATGATGTCTTTCCAAGTAGGGTTACATGTAAATGTGATGAATAGATCAGGGCTACCATGTACGCGGACATATGTCATGGCATCTTGAGTTCGTTCATGCATATACCAAGGTCCACCCGTAAATGATGAAGGAAGTACTACCATTTGACCTAGATCAGTTGCATTAACATCATTCCTCCCCACAGCCTCTTTGAGATGAATATAGTTCTCAGTTCTTAGCTGTTTCTGATGATTCCTAATAAAATTCAACCTTTCAGTTTCAATTTTATATAAGGTATAAGGTCCATAAAATGATTATGATAGGGGTGTCTGTCCATAAGCTGCACTTTGCCATTATTGCAGCACATCCCGGGGGTTTCTTCTTTCCATTTTAGAGCATTGCAGTATTTGAACTTGTGGTTCATAGAACCAAGAGCTATAGTTTTTTCTGCCTCATAAGCCAGGTCAGGATTGTACGTCATTCCTGAGTTGACCATTATTTTCCATGGAAGTATCAGTCTTTCAACTTTCTGGCGAGGATTAGTATGCTCATATCGAGACCTAGCAGCTCTGCCTACCTCAGGATTATCTAGCTGGTACCTGGCAACTGCAGATCTGTTCATTAAAGGATTACGAAGTGCATATGTCTTTGCCGCGTTTTGAAGTTGTTTTTTTCTTATATTGCCAGTGTATCTGGCACGGCGTTTTCTACCCTTCTTCAGGGATAAAGAGAAAGGTGATTGCTGTAATGTGGAGTCTCTCTGAGGGATCAATATTTCTAACTCATTAGGCAGGTAGACATCAAAATGGCCCCTAGAGAGATTTTGTGTAAAACGCATCCTCAACACAGGGTAACCTTCAATACATGATAGAAAACTCCGTCCAATTTTTTGTTACGTGGCTTACAATAAACTTGCGTATTTCTCTGGCCATTTGCTCAGTTCCGTACATAAGATAGGAGAGCGAATTAAATGAACAGGCACCATCTCCTGTAATAGGTACAACGATGTGAGATACCATTTCCCCATTCACATTTAAAAACTCGATTGTCATATTAAAAATTTTTAATGAAAAAAGTTTTATAATTAAGTGATCAATTCAGATTTCAGTTAACGCCAATTTATATAAACTCACGCGGTTTGTATTTCGTGTATATTAATCAAAATTTACTTTTGAACGCCGTTTTATACAGACGCACGCGGTTACATAACAAATGTGCTAAAATAGCATAAATAACAAACCGAATTTTATGTGCTAAAAAGCCGACGTAGACCAAACGGTTTTCAAGGCGTTTGCGACAATTGCGCGTTTACAGGTCACTCGCTGTTGCAAATGATTAAGCAACAAAATTGTAAACCAACCACTGTCCACAAAAACCTTTTAAGATTTAAAAAAAAATTTCGTTTTATAAACACAACAGTCCGCACGAAAATAACTAACCAAACTCCAATGTGTTAAGAGGCGTTAATAATCTGTGAAGCTCACGTTGATCAAACAGTTTTCAAAGCGTATTCGAATAAATACGTGTTTAATAGCTGCAATATGCAATGGAAGTGAAATACGTCAGACGACAGCGGCGACAACGATGACAACGGTGGCTGATCGGTCAATGGTGGTTGGTGAGTAGGGCCGACGGAGTTGTAGGCAGCACGTATTCACCATTTCGGGTTATGTTTGTACTTTGACCGTCTACCGCCCGTACCTATTAGCTGGCCATAGATGATCGGATTTTTTGACGGATTTGGTCCTGGGCGGATTAAATCCTCCAAAAAGTCCTCTTGTGTGTGGTGTTTGAAGGATTCAGTCCTTGTAATAAAAAAATCCAGCAGAGTTAGTCCTACGGATCAAGTCTCTCGGTTATCCACTAATTAAAGAGACTGTGTCCGGCATTCTGGCGGGCCTTGATATTTTATTATCATAAATTATCATCTCTTCGCTTATCAATATTTTTATATCAATGATATTTTTCCCTCATTATTTTATTGTCGGCAGGTTATCACTTATTCACTTTCATTTCCCTAAATATTTTCATTTTCTTTAATACCTATTACCTACTTGATTACTTGAATGTAAAATTATCCAGTGTTAATGTTAACTTCTTTGTTAATTGTTTAAATTATTTATGTATTTAAAACAGTTATTGCATTAACGCATAGATTTTTTTTCATACACAATGGAATGGAATAGGGCTATAACAAAAAACTTCATTGAGCTATATAGAGAAAAACCTTGTTTATGGAAGATTTCTTCTGAAGAATACAGAAATAAAAATTTAAAACAAGTAGCATACAGTGAACTGGTTGAATATTTAAAAAGCAATGGAATGGCCGATATGACTATAAAAGAAGTGAAATCAAAAATACAAAACATCAGGCGTATGGTGAGGAAAGAAAGGAGCAAAGTTGAGGCATCTAAAAGAAGTGGAAATGGTAGAGATGATGTCTATAAGGGGTCAGTCTAATTTACTGATTTACTGATTTGGGGCCATAGCGCCCGTAGCATGAGCAAACTAAGTCCGAATAAGTTCAAACTCCACAAGTGCCATTATAATACCCCCCTCCAACTCCCTACCAAATTCCAGGTTGCCCCGTCGATTTTCACTTCCGGGTTACTTGTCGCAGAAATATCACTAACTTAAAAACTTAACCAACAATTATGAAATTTTTTACACAGTATAAGTTGTACCGTATTTAAATACCATGGAAATTTCAAGTGCCTACCTCGAAAACCCATGCAGTTATAAAACAAATCAGTAATTTACTCACATAATCGAATCAGTAAAATCACGCGCCGCCGTCCAGGAAAACTGCTGATTTGCTCTAAAACCCGCAATATTTTATAGAAAATTATGAAATTTTTTACACGGTATGAGTTTTGCCGTATTTAAATACCTTGGAAATTTCAAGTGCCTACCTCGAAAACCCATGCAGTTATAAAGCAAGTCAGTAATTTATTCACATAATCGAATCAGTAAAATTACGCGCCGCCGTTCAGGAAAACTGCTGATTTGCTCTTACACCCGCAATACTTAACCAAAAATTATAACATTTTTTACACGGTATGGGTTGTACTGTATTTAAATACCTTGGAAATTTCAAGTTCCTACCTCGAAAACCCATGCAGTTCTAAAACAAATCAATAATATTTATTCAATATCATATGTTAAATGTATATCGGTTTCAACAGTGGAAATGATAAGAATCCTGTATGTTTTGTTGCATTACAACATTTCTAGGGGTCTTACTAAACTATTGCAACGGTTTATACTAGACAGCGACTTCAATTTTATCCACATTCCTGAGTTTATGGTTAAAGTTAAGTGTTTGACGTGACCTAAGAGTAGCCGTTGTTTAGATTTTTTTTACATATTGAATGTAGCTGTTATTTTTACAACTCAATAATTTTTTAGTTTATAAATATATATTTTAAGATCAAATTAACAACTATTCATAGGTAAATATTTTATTTTATATATTATGTTTTTAAACATAATATACCGGACCTACATAACAATATGTGTTAACATAATATTGTATGTCATAAAGTCGAGCACTGTGTTTTATAAAATATCAATAAATGTATATAAGTTGTACAGTTTGTACTTGTAGTTTTATTTTGGCACCAATAATGTACAATACTTAATTACATTTGTAATCCCTAATGATATACGATTATTGCTATATTGCTTTCAAATTGTATGTATTGAAATGTAGTTTTTCTAATAATATATTCAAATTTGGTTTATACACATTTTTATAAAATGTATTACTATATTGTACCATCACTAATACTGAGTAACACAATAGGCACTGTTTAACTTATAATATAGTGTTTTGAGTGTAATGTCATAATATTTATTATAATTTTTTTTTAAATATTTGTTAGATAATCATTTGAGCTATGAATATTTAAATTGTTTATATGTTAATTTTAATTTTAATATTTTATATATCAATGTTGTGTTTTGTGTACTTGGAAATTCATTATAAGGATTACCAACACATTTCTTTCATATTTACTTCTTAAAAATTATTGTCGATTTATGTTGTTGACATTTTTGTTTCTTGACCTAAAAACTTAAAATGTAATTGAAATTTTAACGTCCCGCATATAAGCTGCTTCTTGTAGTATAATAAATTTGTTAAAAAACTATATTTTAGTTTAACATTCATTTCAGTTTGAAAACCTATATAAGAAAGTATGTACCTAACCATAACCGGGCTTTTTTTTAACTGACAAATGATGCATATCTTGCACACTTCATCTACATCAAAACCTACTGTATTTTTAGGACGTTACAAATGTTATGGATTATATTGTTTATTTCATTTCATCAAAATATTGAAAATTATAGGTATACCTCCTACCTATTTCAATTGTTGTTTTAAAAACTAACAATTTAAATTAATCTCATATTATAAAATTACCTATAACAGTTGTGGTAAGATAAGTACCTAATTAATTGAAAGTTTAAGTTTTTGTTTAATTTGTTATGTGTAATAAAAAATTAAAAAATAACCTATATTTTATTTAACATAAAAGTGTATTAACTATAGTAATTTGTTTAAACTTAAATAAAAAACTGTACATATTTTTAAGTTTATTCACACGTTACAAAGCTAAAAGAAAAATATATGTTAATTAAGAAAATAAAGTCATGTATATATGAATGCTTAGTTATTTATTAAATAATATATGATTTTTGTTTAAGTAAATACCAGAGGTTGCTAGATTTTACTAAAAATCATCTTAAGGGGGTTCGAAGCGGTGATTTAATAAGGGGTCGTGTATAGGCAATTCGATGTCTTATAGTCGTTTCGCAGTGTGTTTGTGTGTGAAGTAAATGATCATTAGTGTGCGTAGATACGTTCAGAATCAGTGGTTCGCACGCGCATGCACATAATAAATTATTTGTTCCAACGAGAAACTAATTTCAATCAATTGAGACCTAAAAGCCTGACAAAAATACGATAACTTAGAATGATCGGATTTTAGTTCTGTAAACATATTTGAATTCATCGTTCTTTTTTCTAGGTTATTGTGGGAGTCGATTTTTGAATAACTGTTTAACTTTTTAAAGAAAGACACAAACAATTTTCAAAAAATTGAGAAATCGAAATATGATTTAACGTGAATTCTAAAAAAAATATCGAAAATTGATTAACACAATAACCTAGGAAAATTGTCAATGAAATCGAATCTTTTTACAGAATTGAAATCTGATAACTCTAAGTAGGGCGTATTTTTGTCAGGCTTAATCATGAAATAAATACTCTGCTTCGAATCCCCTTAAGTATCGCGGGTGTAAGAGCAAATCAGCAGTTTTCCTGAACGGCGGCGCGTGATTTTACTGATTCGATTATGTGAATAAATTATTGATTTGTTTTAGAACTGCATGGGTTTTCGAGGTAGGAACTTGAAATTTCCAAGGTATTTAAATACGGTACAACCCATACCGTGTAAAAAATGTCATAATTTTTGGTTAAGTATTGCGGGTGTAAGAGCAAATCAGCAGTTTTCCTGAACGGCGGCGCGTAATTTTACTGATTCGATTATGTGAATAAATTACTGACTTGCTTTATAACTGCATGGGTTTTCGAGGTAGGCACTTGAAATTTCCATGGTATTTAAATACGGTAAAACTCATACCGTGTAAAAAATTTTATAATTTTTGGTTAAGTTTTTATGTTTATGATATTTCTGCGACAAGTAACCCGGAAGTGAAAATCGACGGGGCAACCTGGAATTTGGTAGGGAGTTGAAGGGGGGTATTATTATGGCACTTGTGGAGTTTGAACTTATTCGGACTTAGTTCGCCCATGCTACGGGCGCTATGGCC